GCGGGATACAAATCCAAATAAATAAATAAATAAATATGAAATCAACTCGTTGGTATTAATGATTTTAGAATGTGGTTTTATTATGTGTTTCAATTTGTTGTGTGGGCAAGAAAGGTGGGATATAAATTTTGTAACATAAATGAACAGAATAAAGACATATCCTAATGCTCATGAGGGAGAAGTTAAAATTATAATGAAAAAATCTTTTGATCCAAAGATTTCAGTCTCAGGACTCTCAGGCAAAAGGCAGATATATACACATATTAATCTAAAGAGGACCCGATGATCATGGTGCCGAGCTGCAAGCACGTAACAGGAAGTCACATGACATTAGAGTTCATGTGACTGGATGAGAGGAAGCCAGGATTATTACCACAAGGGTGTTGATGCCTGGACTACAGGCACCAGACCAAAACAGCTGAGCACAGAAAATACAAACCAAGAAGAGTGCACTTCCACATCAGGTTCAACAGTAGACTATTCCTGTCTGCCTCCAGCCTCCCTTTCACTTCCTTACCATCATCTGAGTAAAATCCAGCCGGGCACAATGTCACGCATGTATTCGTTTCTTGGTGATGATAGAAGCCACGCTTGCAAGCCATGCACATGTTCGAGCTCCGGCCGAGGCACGACTCACAGCCTCTGTGGCATCTGCGGCACTTCCGTTGCATGCTGTCCCCGAAGTACCCGGGGGGACAGGTATTCACACACTTCCTGCAGGGAAAAATGTCCACAATGCCCCAGTTTGGCTCAGAAGACCCATTCTGGAAATCTGAAAGCAAAGACAGGGATAATGCCCCAGTTTGGCTCAGATTCTGGAAATCTGAAAGCAAAGACAGGGGGCGCTGTCCCAAGTAGTGCTCCTCTCCAGGCGTCACACTGTCCTTAGTGTGACAATGCATTATGGGAGCATTCAAGACCAGTACATATAACCCCTCCACGTCATGACTGAATGCACAGAGAGAAAGAGGACTTTCAAAGCTGGACTCCGCCATCTTTGGTTGGAGTCTGGACATTCTGCCAACTGACATCCTCCACCTTATTTATCTACATCTGTGAACTCACCTCAAAGCTGTGCTGCTTGTTTCTAGCATCTGGCTAACTAATTCCTCCCACCCCTCCCAATCTTGTCGCTTCGATCCTGTTATTACTTGGGAAACCAACTCCCAGAGCAAACCTTGACAAGCTTTCCAGAGCAGAGGTTTTGGGAGACTCTCCTTTCCAGTGGGGTTTAAGGTTAAAAGGGATGGGGTGGGGACAGGAACCCTGTTCTTTCCCCCCTTTGCCATCCCGTAAGCTGGGGAGAAACAAGCGCTACCTTACCTGCCAGTTTTAATGCTCCCAAGACTATAATGGAAACAGTTCAGGCACTGATCAGGATTGGGACCGTCGCATCCTTGGTCGCCACATTCCGTGTGACACGGACCTTAGAGAGACAGACAGTTCTGCTGAAAGAAGAGATATAAAACTCTTCCTAGTCCAGCCTACAAAAACAGATCCGGTGCTCACATTCTTCTTGGCAGGGCTATTTTTGGGCAGGAACGCACAGGAACGGAGTCCCGGCTGGCTCCCAAGTTGGCCACGCCCAGCAGGAACTCATTAGCACAACAGGCCACACCCAACAGCAGGAACTCATTAGGACTGGTTACATTAGGGGTGTGTGGCCTAACATGCAAAGGAGTTCCTGCTACAAAAAAAAGCCCTGGGTTTTGTCAACAAACAAGGTAAACAGAATAACAAGCAAAAGGTGGGTGTGGCTGGATAACCACACTTCTGGTAACATGGGAATGCGGCCTAATATGGTAATGAGCGGTGCAGTCAGGGGTGTGGCCTAATATGCTAATGACTTTCTGCTGCTGGGTGTGGTTATGCTAATGAGTTCCTGCTGGACTTTTTCTACAAAAAAAGCCCTGCTTCTTGGTGAGGTGAGAGGGAGAGAGGCCACATGCTGGCATGAAAGTAAAACTGGAAATATTTCCCTCTGTTTTTTTTAAGAGCATAACAGCCATCGCCTAGATAGAGCCCCGAGGCAAGTGGTGATAGTTCGGTCCGGGTACAGCTGGCAGAACGGTTTTCAGCAGGCCAAAGCGCTTAGGACTGCATGGCCAGGATCCCCAGGGCTTGAGTGGGTGGCTCCTGCAAGGCTCTCCAAGGTCTCTTCCGAGTCTTCGAGCCTTTTCTAGATAATGCCTGCCTGAGTCTCAAAGACCTTCTTGGCAGGCATGAGGATGAGAAAGTTTCAAAGATGGAGAGACAAAAGAAGCCAAGACTCCCACGCCAAATGCTGCAGCCATTCTCAGATTCCGTTCCCCGAATAGCAAACTGCAGGACATGCAAACTCTAAATCTGGAGGATTTCCCCCCCAGAGCTAAGCTACACTATGCATGAACTGAACTGCTGGGCTTCTCCAACATTTATGAGACCACCTGGAAGATAAACCACCACCACCACAACAGCCCAATGCTGCAGTGAATTACTGCGTAAATAATTTAGAGCATCCAAGGGGAAGATGTGGGAGGGACTGAAGCCGCATCTATGATGGGTTTTTAGCAGGAGAGGGAAAGCGTGAACTCCATCCCAAAAAGTCACGCGCCGACTCCTGAATCCTTGACATTGCTGGCTCGCAGAAAGCCATCGTCTAAGGAAGAGCTGTGCATATTCAAAAGACAGCCCAACTCGTATCTCAAAGCTCAACGTGCACAGAACATTTGCCAAGCCAAAGGCAGCTCCTGTTAGTTCCCTTCCTAGGCAGACTTTCCAGGTCCCCAAAGTCAGCTTGCAAGCCAGCACCGACCCTGTTGTGGCAACACACCTCCTTGAGTTTTGATGGGCATGGAGCCGAGGAAGAGGGGCTCCAAATCTGCTCTCGTTTTATGTCGTGAGCACATGGGTGCTCTCTCCCCCCAGGCAATTCTCTCTGCAGCCCCCGCCCCTCAAACATTTATTGAGCCACCTTTCTGGCTTCACATCTTTCCAAGTATAGATCAGCAACTACATTTTCCATAGACTTATTTGATATAGTGTTGTAAGGAGCTGGTCTCATACGGTGGCGGAGAGAGACCTAGTGGACTCTTATTACGAGTTCCTATAATACAAGGCATAACAGACAAAAACTGTACTTTTTTTTAAGTGGGGGGCCAGTTTCTTGGAAGACCAACAGAGCGGCATTGTCCAGGATGTGCTGAGAATATGACAACGGATGGCTAGGATCAGGGGTCATTTCCTGCAGGAGCACACAGGAGCGGAGCTCCGGCAGTAAAGAGCCCAGGGGGCGGGTACATGCAGCAAGCCCCACCCCCTGCTCCCAGCAGCCCTCAGTAAGAGCAAGAAGCAGCCAGGTAAATTGCAGAGCCCCCCGGCCCCCCGGTCCAAAACAGTCCAGTGGCACCTTTAAGACCAAGTTTTATTCAGGTACAAGCTCTCCCTCCTCTGCGAGGACAGATCTGCATGTTTCCCCCCACCAATAGCTAGCAATCCAAAACAGTCCAGTGGAGACTGACACACTTCTGACACAGTTCCGGTGACGTCAGGGGGTGTGGCATATGCAAATAAGTTATGCTAATGAGCCCCAGCACCTCTTTTTCTACAAAATGACCCTTGGCTAGGATGCAATGCATTTGAAACTGTTTCTTGTTTTTTAGGGAGGGGAACAGAAAGCATGCACATGCAAGACACACAGAGGAAATCAAAGATACCCACACCCATGGAGTGTCTGCTTGTGCTTAGATGCAGAGTTCAGGGGAAGAAAAAAGAGACTGGCAGTGGGCACTTTACCTGTGTATTCCTCCTCCTCCTCTGGCACCTCCATCTGAGTCTGGAAAAAAGTGGTTTTGGAAGACTCCAGGTCTGACGACGGAACCTCCAGCATCCTTGAGGGGGACTGAGGGGTGCTGACGTTGGAGAAGGGGTGCTCGGCTGTTCCATAGAGGATAAGACTCCATTCTTTTAACTTCCCTGTAAAAGGACCAGCTCCCATAATTACATATATTTGTTAACTGATTAAATAATTGCACACCCATCCACAGGGCTGCAGCTGTAGGAATGCTAAATCCCTACAGGGATATTCCCTCATTTCTGTTCATCTTTCATTTTAAAAGTGTCTTTCTGCTTGCAGAGGTGTAAAGAAGAGGAGGTGGGGCTGTGCCCAGCCGCTCACTAAAACGTAAACCTCGTAGGTATCTTCCAGTTCTCTGGTCAATGAGCCACTGGGAGAAGTGATGAGCAACTAGGTTGCAGGGGGAATGTTTTCACATGCACATTCTGTCTGCTGTCTGCCACGGCTCTTGGGCATTGTGGTTGCCCACCAGGAGCTGAGGGTGGACAGTGGAGTTGCACCAACAATCCCCACCCCATCCCATTGCCGCACATTGCCAGGGAGTGCCAAGAACGGAGACGATGCTCTTTCCATGGAAGCTTGTTGTCCCAGAGGAATTTTCCAAAGAATAATGGAACGCAGCTTAAAAAACCACCAGTCTCGACTGTTACACTCCTCCACATTCCATAATCTCTGCTAACCAATCCCTTGACTATGAAAAAAATCTCACAGGACTAACCATATTTTATCATTCATTGGCACTCAGAGGGCAGATTGGGTCCAGTATCCAATATGTTTGGATGGAAGCAAAAGCACTAAATCTCCTGATTCTTTGGAAACATGTAAAATTTACCAGCATGCAAAGTTTCTGGGCTTTTACGCCAACCGTTTAATGTTTTTTGCAAAAATAAGAATCCCTAATAGTTATGATAAACCTGATGAAGCATTCCAAGGGTGTCTGACTAATATGCTGCCAGGAGAGCACAGGGTTGGTTTGCTTCTCTGGTATTTTTAAAAAAATATCAAGAAGCTTCTTACGCCAGAGGATCTACTGTCAAATGCATGGGGGGCCACAGTCCCCTCATATTCCATCAAAGAACAAGTCTCCTTGCTATTATATGCGGCTCAAAATACCATCGCACAAAACTGGAAATCTCTAAAATCTCCTACTCTCACACAATGGCATCAAAAGATATGGAATCTGTATGCCGTGGCAAAAATTGCAGACACTCTAACACGATATTCACGGCCCTCTGGGCACTCTATGTTCCCCACAATCTGGCTACCAATACTTGAGTATCTCATTTCTCAGGGTGAAAAACCACAACTAGTTGTTGATCTAGGCTTAGATATACTCTAAAGTAAATGTTTTTTGTCCTATGCTGTTTTATTACACACGTTGTTCCTTATAACTGTAACTCCCTATTTGGTTGGAAATAATGGTATATTTACACAATGGTACTCATCGTATGTATTTCACTGTCTGAAATTTCGAAGCTATGTATGCGTTGTCTGTATTAAAGCTTAATAAAATTTTAAAAAAATATCAAGAAGCTTTTACAATAATCTGGCCAGGCACTGAACAATTTTTTCCTCAAGCGTTCCAGAAAGGGCAAGAGGAAGGAACCTGTTTGCAGAGATTTAGGATAGTTTTCGGTGCTGAATATATGGTTGGGAGGTTGTCAAAACATAACACGCGTGCAGGCATACCAGGTGGATGCTGGCAAAGCGGATTGCTGGCAGTAACGGAGGGGGAATGCTGTCCAACATGGCAACCGTGAGTAGGTGGAGATAGAGGCAGAGGGCTGCTTCATAAATGCCACCCAAGTACAGGGTTGTTGACTGGCTAGGAGCTCCTGCTGATGTCACCAGCCCACTGTTAGCCAATCAGCAATCCAGTACTTCCGTGGTGCTGTTTTTCTGCCCGGATCTCCCATTTGTTCACATCCACTTGCAGGAGGTCTCCCACATTCAATCCCAGATGTCTTCAAGCTAATGGACCGGGGATGGGCTGTGGCTAAGTGGCATGCAGGCGGTCCCAGGTTCAACCCCCAGCCTCTCCCAATAAAAGGACCAGGCAGTACGTGATGTGAAAGACCTCTGTCTGAGACCCTGGAGAGTCACTGCCAGTCTGTGTAGACAATACCAGTTTTGGCAGACCAGTGGGCTGACTCAGCGGAAGGCAGCTGCCCATGTTCATCAGACTTCAGCGGGAGCAGATGTTGGAAAGACTCTGGAGAGCCACATGCCGTAAAGCAGGTAACAAAGGACGTGGGTAGCCTGATGGCCTCAAGCAAATGGATGCAGAGGCTGCACCCCCACGGCCAAGCACCAGAGGCAGGAACAGGAGACTGCTCAGGGGAGAGTGGGCAGTGCCACCCCGACTGTGGCTCCAGCATGGCGGAACAACCTTCTCTGCAGCGGTCAAGCAGTGTGGGAGCATCTGCCCAGTGCTGCACCACTGGTTGTCCAGTCAACCCATGTGGGTTTTCCTTTGCACCTCCCTCCCAGCGCATGAGGACCTGCAGTGAGGATACACCAACTCAGAGCTTACCAACTGCTGTCCTTACAATTTATAGCTCCGGTAGGAGCTGCGGTGGCTCAAGTGGTTAAGACGCAGAACTGCAGGCTGTGGAAGGTCAGTAGTTCAGCAGTTCGAGACCCCCGAGTGTGCCGCGTGATGGAGTGAGCTCCCGTCTCTAGTTCCAGCTCCTGCCAACCTAGCAGTTCGAAAGCAAGAAATTGCAAGTAGATAAATAGGGACCACTTTAGAGGGAAGGTAACTCTTTTTGGCTCTGCTGCCCCCCCCCGCGTCCTTTTGGTGGGGGGCCCCGGGTCCTGTTTGGCACCCCTAAGGGCCGCCCGCACTCTAGGCGAATGCCTAGTTCGCCTAGTGGGTGAGCAGGCCCTGCCTCCTCTCATATCCTGCACATGAACATCTGCACCATCACCACTGATTTGTCCATCCAGTGATCTGAAGGAACTTGGCTCACTGGCAAGCTAAGTTCCAAACAGATGGGTAACCGAGAATATGGACTCATCGGAAACGACGGCAGAGTTCGCAAGCAAGGGCATCCCTGCCCATCCATTCCAATACCTAGGCCTGAAGACCTCAAAAACCCCAGCCGTTCTCCCCTGTCAGGACAGCACAAAGTTCACAGTATTTTGAGGGATTTTGAGGCTCTTTTAACTACATTTATATCAGAATTATTTTAATGCTGTTTCACTTCCTGTCCGAACTGCAGCCAAATACAGCGTGGCTAGAACAGTGTTGCCTCTTGTACTCTAACAGGTACGGGGGGGGGGGGGGATCCATTTCTGAACACCGTTCAGGTCCTCGCTGGCAAGGAGACGAGGGGCCAGAAATCTAGGAGAGGGTAGAACTCCTGAAGAGCTAGAAGGCGGCTTCTCAAGCACATCATGCCATTAACTGTCAACATCAACTCTCCGTAGGTGTGGAAGTTTCAGAGAGGAAAAGGAAATTCTATACCGTGAATGGTGACATTAAAAAAAACACACCCTTCCATTTTACAGACTGCGGGTTCACCATGAGGTTTCGCTTTGGCCTCATTCCTAAACTGGGACAGGCTTTTTTATGTGCATCCACACAATAGGTAAAGGTAAAGGTAAAGGTAAAGGTTCCCTTGCTCGAAAGCCAGTCGAATCCGACTCTAGGGTTGCGGTGCTCATCTCCGTTACAAAGCCGAAGAGCCAGCGCTGTCCGAAGACATTTCCGTGGTCATGTGGCCGGCATGACTAAACACTAAGGCGCACGGAACGCTGTTACCTTCCCACGAAGTGGCACCTATTTATCTACTTGCAATTTCTCGCTTTCGAACTGCTAGGTTGGCAGGAGCTGGAACTAGAGACGGGAGCTCACTCCGTCATGCGGCACACTCGGGGGTCTTGAACTGCTGAACTACCGACCTTCCACAGCCTGCAGTTCAGCGCCTTAACCACTTGAGCCACCGCAGCTCCTATCCACACAATACCTTCCTCTAATTGTTCGTGTTCTGTGCTTCCCCCACCCCACTTTGCTGTGATTCTTCAGGGAAATATCACAATCAAAGCGCTGCGTGGGCAAGGAGGTGTGCATTTTTGCAATTCCAGCCCAGATCACCCCTATTCTCCTTGCCCCACCACTCCTGTTCCCCCCACAACATACCGTGACAGGTTAAAATTGCTCACTGACATATTGCTATAGCTTTAGTCTTTCGATGGCATGGGGAACTGGGAAGGCATGGGGAACTGGGAAGGCATGGGGAACTGGGAAGGCATGGGGAACTGGGAAGCTTGGCTCCCCATGGATACCCCACCGGCACTGTGGATGCAGAAGCATCCACAGCTGCACTGGAAGCAACATGGAAAATCCTCACCGCACGGATGCAGCCATGCGCTAAACACTGTGACAAATGTTATTGGGAAACGTTGTGCTGAAAACTCAAAAATCTGTTCAAAGCCACTCTGCGTTTGGGAAACATCAGCTGCCACATGGAGCGCCATCATGGAAAAGGAATCTACATAAAAACGCTGTAATTTTTGCAATGGTCCATCTGCCATAGGAGGAGACCAGCCACAGGAGACTCACCTAGCATTTCTGGGTTTCGAACATGATATGGCTTATCCTGGATTTCAAGCGTCCACTCCCCGGCTGCCCTCTCTCCCCAGCAGTGGACGGTCATGAATTCCCAGTGCTTGAAGCCGTCGATGGAACTGTCGTGTTGCCTGTGGATGGGAGGACCAGCCAAAGAAGTCACACCAAGGGAACTGGAAAGGCATCACTACGACATGTCAAGAAAAACTCTGCATGGAGCACTTTCAGGCACCGTCTTTGGAGGCAGACAGAAATACATTCTAAGAGAATCGAGGGCAGGTTTGTCGGGCGTGAGATGAACACTTCCTCTCTCTGGCTTTGCTCCTCAACAGATAATTTAAGCCTCTGGACTGAAAGCATGCACTCCCAATCAATGCTCCCTCTAAGCTGTGGAGGTCTTGTGAGCAAAAGTTCTACTTTGTGAGCTACTGGTATTAAAGTTGTGAGCGAGCAGTTACTGCATAAATTAGTTTGCTCTGGAGCCCTCCTTCCTGAGCTAAGACAAAAATGTGTGAGCTGGAGGCTAAAAAACTGTGAGCTAGCTCACACTAACTCAGCTTAGAGGGAACATTGTCAGGCTGCCTTCTTGATTAAAGCTTGAGTGGGAAGAGGGGGGAGTTCCAGGCACCTGGGCAAGCTTATCTGTGCTGATGTATTTATTTCTTGCCTTCATCTAAACCACGGATGGCCGGACTTGCTTAATGTAAGAGCCACATAGAATAAACGTCAGATGTTTGAGAGCCTCAAGACATGGACAAATGTTACATACACATTTTAATTTGCTTTATATTAACATTAAACGAGACTGCCAAAAATAAAAACAAAAGAGGTAAAAACAGATATTGTTAATGATATTTATTTATCCCATGATATTTGTATGCCGGGGGGTGGGGGGAGGCTTTGAGAACGCATTTAAAGTTTCTTTCTCTCCTCCCCCCCCACCCCAAGCCTACCCAGGGAGGGGAACACTGGCTGGGGAAGGAAAGACCGATCGGAGAGGCACGCCTCCCTTCGCTTCCCCAGCTACCCTGTTGGAAGCCGCACAGTATGTGTAAAAGAGCCGCATGTGGCTCCTGAGCCACAGTTTGGCCACCTCTGATCTAAACCC